TTATATATATTTTAAAATTAATTTCGATTTCATTTATATGGGAAAACTCAGATCAATCTGTTATCAGATTGAAAATTGCTTTGTATTTATAAAATATGTATTAGATTAATTTTGTTGTCCTAATCTTTGTTTTTTAGATGTCAATAATTCTAGAAAAACGTAATAGTTATACATCAAAATCAATCTTAAGTATTCTTCAAACGAATCATATTCTTTCGAAATCAAAATCACTATCAAAACAATATAAAATTCCTTCATCAATATTAATTATTATTTGTATAATTAGTATATGGGCAATAGTTTTCTATTTTATTCTTGGTCTTTGTTATTTTTTTAATTCCGGTATACTTTTACAAGATTTAAATTTTATTCATTTATATAAACAAAATAATATTAAATTATTTACTCAAGAAATATATAAACAATTTTATCAATTATCATTACATTGTTTTTTTTCAGTTATTATTTATCTAATTCTGCTTTTTAGTTGTCTGTTTGTTTTACGATATAGACAAAAAAAAGAAGAAGAAATTCATTTACCAAGATCAGAGATAATAAAACCATACGGCGCTTGTAATAAACGTTGACAATAAATACGTTTTATTATATTCAAACATTTTTTTGAACCTTTTATTAAAAGACCATTTGTACCAAGTGAACCACCAAATTGAATTTTTTCAAGAGTATGATATACTTCTTGATACCATACATGTGCTTCACGATTTATTGTTATAAATGACGAATAAACATTACGGATATTTAATAAATTTGTGTTAATTATTGGTGATGGTTGTATTGGATCAATATTAAGTACAAGAAGTAAATAATTTTGTGATATTAGTTTATCAAACATGATTGTTGTTTAGTAGAAGTTTTCAATGGAAACATATCGATAAAAAAAGACAAGGAATGAATACAAAGAACAATGTTCAATTGGCCAATTGAACTAAATAGGAGAATGTAGAGGGCGATAGATAATAGAAATATTCAAACTGAAAAAAATTCTACTTATAATAATAGTTTGTTCAAGAGAAATTGTTTTGTTCTTTTAATCTTTGTTATTATTGTTATATTAACAAAAAAATACAGACAAAAACTTTTATTTTTATTGGTTAATATTTGATAAGTGACTATGTATGTTTCTTTAATAATTGAAAATTGAGATTCTTGCTTAATGATGTTGATTTCAGGAAAGAAAATTCAAACAAAAAATGACAGGAATATTAATATATGCAAAATGAAAAGTTAACTAATAGTTTCACCTCTCAATGTACTTGTACTATTATGCAAAGTTTCATTGTCTCGCATCTCGTACTAATCGTATGCTCGAAGATGATGACAAAGAAAAGATCGAACGTTGAAACCGGAACTGTCGGTTTGATCTGCGTGTGATGTAATATTATTTTTCTTACTATAACTTGAAACATAAGATAGTGTCAAACGTTCATGATTTTGTTAGGGTATGAGTACGGATCATCTTTTCACACATAACTTCGTTGTACGCCTGATTATATGTTGTTTTTCTATCAAAACTACATTTTTTTCGATTATGTGAAATAGTACTGATATGTTCGAAAACATTTCTATTAATCTAGTGTTTCTTGTATAAAAAATATTTTTGATGATTGATCTCTTTGCTCTAATTTACTATTTTGTCTTAGAAATTTTCAATACACTATCATCATAAAAATAAGTTAAGTGTATAACTGAAATTAGTATCGTACCTAATAATAAGATTATAGAAACTAGTCGATTTGATTTGCCTTACGGGCCAAGTCAGACCGGAAAAAAATGGTATTGTGCATCACATTGATTGCTAATAAATAGTCGACATAAGTTTTATCTGCTTCACTTAGAAAACTAACCATAAAGATTAAAAAATTTCCATCAATGAATGATTGAAAAGATTCATTGTATATCAATACAATACTGAAAAAGGATATTAATACTCAATGTTTTATTTCTCAAACTTTGTAATTGATCATTTTAAAAAGGATGATAGAAGAATGAAGTCTAAAAATATGTATAGATTGTCATTTTTCTACTGACATTGTGAAACTGCTACTAGTTTAATATGAAGGATATGACTTGACCTCTATCTTGAAATTTTATTTTTAACTAATTTGGTATATATTAATTAACATTTATCATTTTTTGATTATGTGTGCGTTTTATTGTGACGCTGTGAACCACTTACAAATGAGATGATATACATATACCGTGAGGGTTCATCTTAAAGCTATAGAAGGAGGAGAAGAAAATGGGTAACGAAGTTTAAAACGAAAAAAAAATTGAGTGTTTATGCCATAAGTTGTTGCCATCATTTATATATATTTTCAGCTTCATTCGGCTTTGCTGAAAATAATGTCTTAGTCCATCTTTATTCTTGCTTTTAATATTCATTCCAGCATGAAATTGCGTTGAACAAGGGTGATGTTGAAATATGTGATTAATAGACTTTTTAAGTCTTTTTCTGATATATTCATTAACATAATAATCTAAATCGTTTTTGTCGATAAATGAATGCAGCTCCTAATCTGCTACTTTGGCCGAAACAGTTCTTGTTAAGAATGTGGAAGAAAAGGGAAAACATAGAAAAGCTAAGCATAGTTTGGGAACAAAGCTACAAATAAGTATTGCTTCAATACACCAGTAGAGATTACTCTGCTACATTTCAATTACTTCAATTTCGTGTACGATGGTTGAACCTTTTATAAGCAATTCTATCATGTTAATTGTCAAAAGTGAACTAGAATCATTAACTAAAGATCTATAAATGATGTAAGTCAGATGTTGTAAGGTTTAGTCACGCATCAGTTATAAGTAGTCTACCACGTGTTATGGGTAGATTTTTCACAAAAAAATTGACTGCTTTCTGGCTTTTGTGGCGAAAAATCCATCTTTATAAACTTATTTAAAAACACTTGATGAAAGATCCTGAAGAAACTTGCCGAAAACATCTGGTATACACGATTCAATACAGTTTATATTCCTCTTTTAAACGGCAAAGATCGCAGATCTCTATTTTGTTTCTAGCAGAACTTATTTCAAAGATGCTCACCCTTCGTTTATTTTGATATGGATAATAGTTCAAGTGTATATTAGATATTTAAAGTTGTTCATGAATATTGTTAGAGTGCATTGGTAGATTTGGGTGTGAAATAATAGGTACATTGATTTAGAAAGATTGATCAATTGCTTCCATTTTCTAATATATTCAAAAAGATCATTGCCCACTTTAATGCCTTCGTCTTTCAGAAACGATAGGAGTGTGAGGATCGGTGTGGATGCGCATTTGTATATGAGTGAGCTCTGACTGTAAGTGGATCGATAAACATTACGTTCACCAACCTATATTCCACATTAACACCTATACCGACACTCTATATGAAAATTTCACTCAATAACTCAACTGTTAAAAAAAATTTCAACATCCATCGAATAACGAAAACAGCATTCACTCTACAAATACAAACTATAACATTCTGACTTGTCAGATTAATCATCCAATAGTCACTTGGAAGCAGAAGTTTTTATGGCTTCAAGTGTTCATAAAAAATTATTTAGTCAATAATCATTGTTTTTTCCACATTTATCATATAAGAATAATTCAATTTTAATAATAATATTTACTGCAATACTCATATTTACAATTGCGATATGATAATATCTATTTCCAAGTGATAGATAATCTATTTCGTAGAAATCTCAGCGTATCGATATACATAACTATCAAAAATTGATTCAATGCTTTTACATAATTATCCTGTTTAAACTAAATTTTCGTTAAATTATTAATTGCCATTGCTAACGCGAAACGATAGAATACAAGAAGTTTTCAATTGAAAAAACACTAATTCGATCGTTTTCATAACAGATGTACACATGATTCATGTAAATCATAGATTCAAGAATACATAGATCGAATGTTACGGTAGACTTGTGGTGATCGTTACTGTTTGTGTGGCATATTATTTTCGGTCAATCCTTTTGTTCAAATTATATGTATTTGTGTTACTGAATAGCTACCTATTCAATGACAGACCACATTGAGATTGTTATAAACTTATACACAAAAACAATAACGACCTTTGTCAGAACACTAATGTGTTCAAAATTTTTCATGAGCTAAAACCTGCACCAAATTATATTCTTCTGCCTCATTCGAAGCCAACTCAAGACAATAACAAGCCATTCCTCTTCTTGATCCATGGAATCCTATTAATATAACCAACACATACAATCATTGTAGTAGTATTCTATTCTTTCATCATAACAAGCATTTAATTTCAAGTGATTCTATACCTTTTCAAATTAACGTTGTTTCAAGTAATTCTTTAGTGCAACATTTTTCTTCAGACTCATGAACTTCTCACTAATCAGGCGAGGCAGAAGAGTATGACATAAATGTGTCCTCACGGAACAACCTGAAAACTCCCAACGACCTCAGTTGAACAACACTTTTGCTTCCATCGATTAACCTTCTAACGGATAAATTTTAAGTCTCGTTCCATGGCATGTGCGTCACAGAGAAATCCGAACAAATTCGTGCACAGCATTACGACTTCCCCAAATGAACAAAAAACGTTTTTATCATCGAACCACCAACACTGGTTATCCATAGCAATACTGCGCTACATCTCGTCATCTCTCGCAACTATGGCAACAATAACCGCATTCTATCAAACAACCCTAAAATATCTACCTTCCCTTCGACATCCTTCTTCACACCTCGACATTCGCCATGATTTCGCTTTCAATAAATATTCTTCATTTCAATAGTAACCCAAACCACCGATAGAACCAAAAGACAATACACCTAATTACCGGATTTTCGAATCTCTCCCGCCACATAACATTCTCCCATTTTCAGCTGAACACAATCTGAGATTCCAACCGGCCCGATTCACTCAAAAGACCTCCTTGCCCACAGTTTCGCTCGCTCAATGCCTTATCACCNTTCTGTTGAATCTATATTTCAAATCGATTTAAATTTAAAAATGAAAATTATTCACGTAAGTCAAAAAGACACGCTCATAAACAACGACCACCTAAGGGCATACACATATGCCATATTCTTTGTCCTGGGTATTTTAAAATAAATAGTTAGTTTTCAGCGTATGTTGCTTGCATGATTCTAAATATCGAGTTACATTTATCAAACGCATAGCTTCTGCGTTTTCAACTCGACAACCAATACAATGATGAGAATTTAATTCTTATAAAACTTTTTTTAAATGCTTTTTCAGTCTGAAAAAGTACAGTTTTTACTATATAAATCAAAGAAAAGTAATATCTTATGTCAACAAACGTAAGAACAACCATTTTCTATTGCTACCCTCCGATCCGGATTTATGAGAGAACACGTCACCAAGCAATATATTAATCTTGAAATAAATCTTTGTTCATTACGTAGATTATAGTATGATTAGAAGAAATTTAAAAGAATTGTGCTCATGAGCCTTTCTTCTAGCGCTGTATGGACATTTTCGTAAGTTTTTTCCGTAAAACGTTGTGATCCTCTCGGATCATCTTCAACATCAATTTATGATTTTCAACTTCCAATATTGCATAAATAAAGTTCTCAATGACACTAATTTATTGTGTAAGTGTCATAATTTATATCTTCAGATACCAATATTGAAAGTTCTATTATATGAAAAAAAAAAAAAACTTTGTATTTATAATTATATCTTACAATAATGAAATACTTGACAATCTGATATTTTCAAAATGAACTAATCTCCTTTTAAAAGTGTATTTGTAGAAAGTTAAAAGTCAAGCTTCGATCCTAAAGATAATCCGAGAAAGATGACGATATCCTGTTGAAAAATAGTATGAAAAAATATCTATAACTCAAGAAAAAAAGATCTTTGTAAATAGTTTGTTAGTACACGGATTCGAATAAGTTTCTACCAATTTGAAACATCTTGCTACTAAACTTCAATGCATTTAAAATTTAATATCTTGTGTTATTCAATAATCTCTTAGATCTGATAGCATCCGAGTGTTTTCGTTTTGATTTTGTTTTTCTTCCTATTGAAATTGAAGTCATTCTACCTTGCATCATTCAAAGCTTTCTATTCTCAATTTGAATGTAATATTATTTGCAAAGAATACATTTTTTTTTAAGCACACTCATCTATTATAATATAAGAAGAGACACGCATTGGATTAATATGAAAAAATAAGTTTCATGACAAAATTCACAAAGTAATAGACAAGTAACTTGAAGTTTTCCTCGTTTATTTATAAAATTAAGCCGATTTTCACGACATGAAATACCAAAAAAGAATTATATAATTAGAAACATAATCCATCATTAATGAGGCAAAATTTTAAATCATTATTAAGAAAATTTATATGTGTATAAGTTATTTTGAATAGATAATTTCTTTTTCAATTGTAAAATATAAGATCATTTAATCACCTAATTAAGAGCATCGGACAACGTCACACAATAATTTTTTCCATCCTACTCTGCATTCTGCAGGACACTATCACTCAATCATTTCGTTTTGCAGGATGCAGAATGATCTTTTCATTGCATTTTTGATAAGAATAAAAACCCATCCGTAGATGAGATACAACGTCAAATATTATAGACCTACTATCTATGCAAGAAGTCATTGACAATATAATCATGCTAATAGCTCTTGTCACATATTTTCTAGCAGAAATGAAATGAGCAACAGAAAAAAAAACTACTTAACATCTATAGATTGAACAACAAAATAAATAAAACAAACATAAAAATAATTTAATCAATATAAACAAATAGACAACAAGAAGAAATACTTTTTTTTTTTCGTGAATTTCTCTTATGAACAAAACATTATGAATTATCAATTTCACTTGGTTATGAACGTGTTTGTTCTAGAATAAATATTAACTCAGCTAAGCTACATAAGCTTGTCGCCGAACTGGTATTTGCTAGTATGACGTTTACTCTTCTAACTACTACTGATAATAATGGAAGATCACGACGAATGTTACTAATAGACCAGAGCTTCCTTGGGTCACAATCAATGAGTTAGCTTGGATGTTCTACAGAGAGTGTGGGTAAAAAGGAGATCCACAACAATAGCACCCACGCACACCCTTATCCGCATGCCTAAGACATCCTGGGATTTAAATACAATAGGATCATTAGATTTTAAACTTGATTGAATTACATTTCTAGTTATTTGTGATACATGTGAAAAACTTGGTTTATTATCTAGTCCAGATAGTTCATATGAGCAATATAACTGGAAAAGATTTTTTTCAATGAATTTAACAACAGTAAAATAAAATGTATAGGGTGTTTTTTGTTATTGTATTTTGGAAATTCTAATGTAAGATATTCAGGAAATCGAGACTGTTTTGGAAGATAATATGATCTTTTGATGCGGGTTAAAGTCTGCTGACGTGACAATTTCATTAAGTGATAAATCATTTGTGGAAATAAGTTTGACTTCATTTGATAGATCCTATTAAGACTAAAAATAGTAGACGAGGACGTTTGTTCATCAATCTTCAATATTTCAGTTCTGACTTTGGACAAATTTATTTTTCAGCGAGACTAGTCCGTTGTGAAAGTGTCAGACTTTCCATTATCTTCTATTCTCGAATACCAATATTGAAATTTTTTATCTGTAAATTACCAAATTCTGTTTTTACATTGGTATCTTAAGAGAAAATATAATAGAAAGTCGGTTACTGAAGCAATGAACTACTAGTTCCATTCAGAACTTTATTTATGCAAAAGAAGTCATCCATGAATGATCAGTAGGAAATAGCAATGCATATCTGACATCTAGGCACTGACTGCGATTGTTTTTAGAAACTTTTTCATAAAATTGTCCAGCTAAATTCGTTTTGATCCGTGTTTCCAATAGAATAACATTTTGACATTCTATGAAGCATTATGTACGAATTAATTACATGCATAGAAAGTACATTAGTCTTTGATAAAAGAGAAAAAACAGCATATTTGAGCATGTAGACTCTAGAGGGTGCCATTAAAGAATAAGCCTACAGACGATAAAGGTCTTTTATACTATCAAAAGTTTTGTCACATATTCATATTATTTCAGCGATCAGGTAAGAAAAAATAAGTCTTTTTTTTATCGATTAAAAACTTCTCTTTCAACTTTTTGATATATATGTAAAGAAGTTGGTGATATTACAGTTAGAAATTGTTTAGTTACGAAGGATTTTATTTTGATACGGCAGTGCTTTGTACTTTATTTGAAATATGACGAAGAAATGTAAGGTTATTTTTGGTTTGTAATAAACCATCAGACTGACAGAAACTCGAGTTCCTTTTATTTGAAAGAACAAAACTTCGAGATAACAATAAATCAAATAGAAAATTTAAGTTTTAATTGTTTATCAAGTCAGATTTTATTTTTATTGACTAGTGAATTTTTTTAAATTTAAACATGAATTCAAAGATTTGCATGTATTTCAGATGACAACTACTAAATCATCGAATGATCAATTAACAAAGAAGATAAAGAAAATTGTCGGATAATATCATAAATCTTCCGACCGTTAGATTTCATTTTCAATAGGATAGAAAGATAATGTATAAGATTCAGAACTTTACTATCTACTTATTTTGTTTTTCGTTTAATGCAGAAAAATAATTTTTCAAGGACTAAGGAATCTATTACCTTGGACGTTTCGATCAATAAACATGGTACCTACAAGTTTTGTCCTTCATCTACTAAATATGTAAAACAAGTGCATGGATTGACACAATTTTTCATGCTCTACAAAATAACACAATGATCATATTTATATTTTTTTCTCTCTCGTTAATTATGCAGGATCAAATGGGCACTATATCGTACGCATTGATCGTGCATAATCAAAGAGAGAAAAGAATGTAAATATGATCACTGTGTTATTTTGTAGAGTATGAAAATCTGTGTCAATCGAGCTTATATTTGCTTTGATCAAAACACAAACTTATAAGTACCATATTTATTAACCGCAACGCCTGTGGTTATAGATTTCTTAGTCCTTGAAAATTTGTTTTTTTTTGTATCCTATTGAAAGTAAAACTTAGGGATTAATAGATTTATGGTCGTATCCAACGCCTACATAAATAAATTATAGTTCAGGGTGCATCGAGTCGACTTTTTTATGATCTAAATTCTCGATCGAGTTTTAATGGATATCGTATTGTTCATACTCATTTTAATTTAAATGTTACTTTTGATTCGAATATTCTTGATAGTTATGTTCAACTTGATGTGAAATCATTCAGTAATGAATTATGTTATTGTTTATCAACAATAACAACTAAAAATAAAGAAGTTCCAAATAATCATGGCAATCAACTTGTTTTTGATTCTCGCCATTTAAATATAAAAAAAAAGTTCTTTTGATATCAAATGATACAGAAAAATTACTTTCATTTCAAGTTGATATAGACCATGAATCATTAATTATTGAAATGAATAGGGGTCTACCAACTCAAGTTCACGAACTCCTTTCAAATGAACTAAAGAACTGCTGAAATAGTTCTTTGGAACGAACCGAACTTTTCCGAACAGTTCATTTCAAAAGAACTGATTTGTAAAATAAGTAGTGTGCAGAGCTGGGCTCTTGAAAAACGTCCAGTTCGTTCAAAAAGGCTGTTGGATCAGTTCAGTTCTTTTGAAAAGAACTGTTCAAAAGAGTTCAGTTCGCTCAAAGGAACTGTTCGAACAGATCAGTTCTTTTGAAAAAAACTGTTCGGAAAAGTTCAGTTCGCTCAAAGGAACTTTTCAAATAGTTCAGTTCGCGTTAGTGAACGATTTGAACAGTTCATCAGTTCGGAACTAAAACTGAACTTGTCGATCTCTAGAAATGAATGATATATCAAAAGATTTTATGATATCTATTATTATTTATTATTCAACATCAAATACAAAATGTACAGCATTACAATGGCTTACAAAAGAACAAACAGCCGATAGAAAATATTCATATATGTTTAGTCATGTCAAGCTATATATGCACATTCATTATATCCATGTCAAGATACACCCGGTGTTAAAAGTACGTTTACAGCAAAAATAACATGCCCTAAACCATTTACTGTGGTAAGTATAAAAGCATAAATTTACTTGAAATATTTTTATATTTTGCTTTCTTTAGTTAATGACTGGTTTACAAACAAAACATGCTGGAAATACAAATCCGTTTTATTTTGAACAACAACAAGCTATACCATCTGATTTAATTGCTATTGCTGTTGGGCAATTAGCTTCACACGATTTAAGTCCTCGCATTCGCGTTTGGACTGAACCAAGTATGATTAAACAAGGGTGTGGGTGTGAGTCTAGATTAAAGAGAAAACAATATCAGCCACACCCTCAACATGCTGGTTTTGCCAGATAGTGCACTGAATATACTGTAGGATGTGTACATTTTCAAACTTGCTTTCAGCAAAATACCAAATATTTCCACCAAATATTTGCTCTCAGAATTATGTCGATTGTGGAGCTTTTTGTATCAGATTAAATTCGATGAGATATATCGATTTAGTACAAAAAAAAACGACCGGGTGCGAGTGGGAATGTGCCTATAGGTGTGAGTATGGATGAAGAGAAGACCCACGTCCACAGTTGTAGTGATCATTACAACTATGTTCATAACAAATGTATTCCGATGAAAACATAGTTATGAAAAGAAAGAATGCACTTGGTGGGTTTTATCATCATTATCTTAACATGTAGTAAATACTATTATTAAAAAAAACTAGAACAATAAAACAAGAATTTGATAACAAAAATTATACAAAGAAAAAGAAATATAGGCGAAAGCAGGACGAACCTGTCTTATGGGGCTCTCTGCTGAGGTTGTCTTTAAAAAAAGCCGATTCTCTTCCCTTACGTGTAGAGTCATGCGGCAGTTTATAGCATAATGAGAAAAAGAAGTTATGGAAGTGTAGGCGTCAAGTCACTTTTCAAGCAAAATTTCACTGTTGGTAGAAAGGCTGAGCTCTCATTTTGTTACGCCAATAGCGACATCTGTTCATCAGGTATTAAATAATCAATACATACCTGTACAAAAAATTAGTAAAGTTAAGCGAAGATATTTAAATTTTTCTTTTGCTACGATTTAAACGATTTAATTTTTATATGTATCTCTCATGGTCGATAGCGCTTCTTTGTTCTTACGTACAATCTTATGTTCTTTGTTCTGATGTTTAACATGACATTTTTCATGCATTAAAAAAAGACTTCTATCATCATGCTGGAGCAAACTTCTGAAGATCAACATGTAATACAAGAAATCAATTCTATTTCTTTTATTATCTCTTCATATTTCGTAGAATTATATGGATATTGAAGCTGTTAAAATTCCATTTGATGTGGCACAATGTGATGATGATTCTCTTTATACATATTTACCAAATTGGTTAAATAGTCTTAAAGATGATGAATTACAATCTCCGCCAATGTCAAGTCATGTATTTCAAAAATATATACGTGAATCTCATCTTGAAACAAGCATGGCTAATAGTGTACGGAAAATGGCTTTGAAGTAAATTGACTAGAAAAAAAAGATAATTTTTTTTTTCTTCTTTCTTTAGTGAAGATCGTTTATTTACAGTTGATGATTTTGAATTTGGTCGACCACTTGGTAAAGGTGCATTTGGTATAGTTTATTTAGCACGACTAAAAAAAACGAAATTTATTTGTGCATTAAAAGTAAATTTTTTCTTTTCTTCTGTGTTTTTTTTTTATTTTCTAAATAAATTTAGATACTTCATAAAAGTAAAATAAATGAATATTCCATGGCTGAACAAGTTAAAATTGAAACTGAATCTGGTTTTAAATTAAATCATCCACTTATATTAACCATGTATGATGTATTTCATGATGAAAAACGTTTTTATTTTATGCTTGAATATGCAGCACATGGACAACTTTATCGATTTTTACAAAAACTACGTCGTTTTACAAATCGTTTAGCTGCTAGTGTAAAAAAACCAAAGATTTTCTCTTTTTTCAAAAAATTTAAAAACTTGACTATTTTAGTATATATATCAAATTTGTCATGCGTTAGAATATTGTCATAGTAAAAGTATAATTCATCGAGATTTAAAACCTGAAAATAGTAATTATTAAATATTTTTTTTAAAATTAAATTATAAATTTTTCCTTTCATAGTTCTTCTCGACTGTTGTGGAAATTTAAAATTAGCAGATTTTGGTTGGTCAACTAAAATTCGTCATGCTGATACAATGTAAATTGAATACATGACACAAGACAATAGGACTTTTTGTTTTTGTCTTGTTTTAGGAATACAACAGCTTGCGGTACATTAGATTATTTAGCACCGGAAATTGTTGGTCATAAACAATATCAATATCAAGTTGATAATTGGTGTGTTGGTGTACTTGCTTATGAACTTTTATCTGGTCATGCACCATTCGAAGGAACAGATGATGAAACGAAAGTTAAAATTGCAACTATTAATTATACATTTCCAGATTATTTTTCTCAACTTGCAAAGAAATTTATTGATAATGTGAGATTAGAATTAAGAAAAATAATGAATTTTCTGTTTTTTTTTGTTTAGCTTTTACAAAAAGATCCAAAAAAACGTATGTCACTTTTGGATTGTATTGCTCATGATTGGTTACAAAACAATGCATATAAATATATGTTTGGCCCGTATAAATGTCCGATTTATGTAAATATGGATGAATAATATTTTATGTTAATATGTAAAAAAAAAAAAGAAAATATTGTTTATTTTAATTGTTCATTTTTGTTGAATGTGTTGTTATATAAGATATGAAAAATGTCATAGAAACGTATTCATATTGTATGAAAAATTCTTTTTGATTTAAAAGAAATATTAATAAAATATAAATTCATTGATATCCGAAAGTTTATTCAATATTATATTTATACGCAAAAATATTTTAATAAATAATACTCAAACAAATGAAAATTCCTATTTGAAGGTTTTCGTGTTCATGCAGAAAATATTAAAATCAACTATTTTCATCATAAAAAGTGTTTGAAGACTCGAGTACTTCAAAAGATATACGAAAAATATTTGCTCGAATTAATTTTGACTGAGGAAAAAAAAGTTCGATATGAAACATCTTCAAAAGAGCTTTTGTAACATACTATTTTTTTTTATAGTTTAGAATATTTCTTAGGAATTGTTTAACATCAAATAAAACATCTTTGTTTTAATAGCAAGCATTTCTTTGCATGGGACACATAGGACATTGAAGAAAAATTCATTATTCAAAACTTAAACATGTCAAAACCAAAAGATATATTTACCGTACCAGAAATTAAAAACTCAAGTGGAATTCACTGTTGGAAATTTCTGAATTTAGATTATATATGTTGATCTTTCTAACGCCTTCAGTGATGTTATGTCAATGTGTGTCGACGCGCCTTTGTTGTAGAGTACCTTGAGTTTCCTCGAATTCTATGTCATTTGTTTTTTGAATTTCAAATTTCAGGATGATGAGTATTGTTATAAACATATAATTGGGATTTGATAAATTTTTTAAAAGATCATTGAATTCTGTATTTTTGCAATATTAGTGCCATTTAAAATATTCAAACTATAGATATAGTTAGAACTTCTATTGATATAGATTGTATGCAGTCAATTATTCAGTGTTTAAGTTTTTCGACGCTGTGAACTAAACTAACATAAGAAAATCGAAGACTCACATTTGAGAATTTTTCCTCTCGTAAACCAAAATGAATCGTATAGAACTTGAAGATGTATCATATTGTAGGAAATTTCTTGCTCGAACATTTTGTGTCGTCTGAATAAAATTGTATTTATGTCTTGTAATGGCTGAAAAACTGAGAATTTAATCTTCTGGATAATCTTTTCTTATATTTTTATTTCATATTTAATATCAGATGAAACCAATCGTGTATAATTTAATATTGTTTTTCTTTACTATTTGTTGATTAATGATTTTTTTTTGTCCTATAATTTGAATAGCACACAATGAAACATTATTGACAGTAGTTATGATGAAATAGTATAGAATGAATTTAAGTAATAAATTATTTCTTCTACAACATCGTGTGACTTTTCGACATTATTTTTCCTATTTTTTTTTTCACTACGAAATTCGATAGTAACTAAATAATATGTCTGATGATGTAGCGTGAATGTGTGTTAGCAAAGAATTAAACCGGACTATAATTTGTTTCTTTTTTTTTTAGAATTATCTCGGCACTAATCGAGATTAATTTTACATAGCCTTGAATTTTCTTCTGTTATAATTTATAATTAAATTTTAAAGAGGGTTAGTCTTGGCTTTTTTTAGAAATAAAAGTATTTTTCGATAAATTTATCATGAAATAAAGTAGTGAAGAAACGAGTAGTATTTTAACCATTAATATTGGTGATGAGATTTTAATATCTTAGAGTACTGTCTCCAAAGGATATTGTTGACATTCGATGAGCACTACTGAAAAAAAAAAGAATTAATCTACCTTGAATTAAGGATAAGTATTCTGTCATTACCTGGCAAAAGTTTATGCGTCGAGCATTGATTTAACAAACGATGAATTATTCTATTACTGGTGTCAATATTAAATTTGTCGATAATTAAACGATTAAGAAAAAGCATCCATTAGAGAAGTATCGTAAGATTTTTAACAAGTTTTAATCATTCTTTGAATTAGTAGCAATATGAATACATGAATATTTTTCTAGTTCGTTGAATAATTCTATGATCATTTATTATAGAATATGTTAACACTTGTAGCGTCAAGAATAAAAAAGGTGTTACATTTCTTTTATGAATTGTTAATAGATTGTCTACGTTTAGTCAAGGAAAAAAAACTTGAAATTACTTTGAACTTTCTTTGTCTTCGATTTGTCTGTCTGTCTGTCATTCATACTAAACCGGAGATGACACTTCCCTCTTATGTCACGTACTTTGTTCATTAATCTTTGTCATAAATAGTTGCAAGTCAATTATACATGGCAACAAGAAGATGGATTCATTAACCAAAATATCTTTAAAAACTATTTAAATTCATTATATATTAAATTTCTTAATTGATATAAAGTTTTTCTTTTTCAAAGAAAAGTGAATTGATCTCAGACGATAGTTGCTTGAAGACAAGGACTACGTGACAAAAGCATAACAATATGTATATATACATACATAAACAAAAAGTGTTTAAGATTGTTTCTTCGAGGTAAAAATGACTGTGCACTTGTGGCTGTCAGCTGTCGCATTGCATCACCTGCATACATTAGATACACATATGTATATATTTAAAGAGCCAAAGTATAATAGTTAGTAGACTGTTATTGGTATTATTTAATAGCTACATTTTCTACATAGATAGAAGAGAAGAAAAGAAAAGAAAAGAAAAGAAAGTTCTTTGTTGTGATATTTTGAAACAAGCGAAAAAATAATTAGAGCGGTACATCATGAAAAAAAAAGAAAAAAAGCTTTTAGCTTTTTATTGAATGATATCTATAATTCATCTATTCATTCATTGAATTGGGATGGAAAGAGTCACATATACAAGAATATATATATATATAACAACATCTCATCCAGATGCGTTGTTAGGTCCTCAATAGAGTTGAACAAACAAGCAAATATTCGATTAGAAAAGAACAGGTGGTGAAGAACAATTAGACTTTCATTCTCTTTTGGATATATATATATATGTGTGTGTGTTGTTATTGCATCATATTGTCTCGCACGCGTTCGTATAGATCTCTGTATCGTATATGTCTGTATGGTGCCTTAAGTGGACTCTCTTTGGTTTCAAGAGTAAGAGCTCAACCATTAGTCCAATACTGTCCTTGTATTACTATTCTATGGTGATGAGTGACACATTGACACTTGCACTATTCATATTCATTCATTCATTCATTCATTTAGTTACTCATTCGTTCTATCCAGTTTTCAATTGAGCATATCTGGCATGAGCATGTAAAAGAATAACATTTTGTCGAACATACATTCAAATAGATTATCGCCAGGCGTCTCGTCCCATTTTTCAACTAGTACATATATATATATATATATATACATACTTACATGAGAGGCAACTAAGATAGATATTGTTTATAGAAAGTGAATGTTCATATGTATGCAGGTATTAATTCATTTATTCATTAGCTTAGACGGAACTTATAGTGAATGTATGAACAACAACAGTAGCTGTATTTGTCCCGCCTGTTTTTTTCTTGATGAACAACATTGGTTGTCATTGAGATCATTAGCGTATATGTACATATATATGTATGAACTTCTTCTTTCCCTATTTAAAAAAAAAGAGAGAGGAATTCAAGATAGGTCTAACTAGCTCTAATTTCATCAAGCAAGGAAACATAATCGTACACATGCATATGTATATGGAGACTAGTAAAATCGTCTTATGTCACAAGATTTAAAGAATATGGATTTGATTCACTTTTCTCAATTAGTTATGACCATGTAATATGGCTTTCCCTCTTTCTCTATATGTACAAGAAGCGAGAAAGACAGATTAGGAGAGAAGGAAGAGTAAGTGTTATTTTTTTCGGGAATAAGGCATACACTCATTCTCTTCTTCTTCTCCTTCTTCTCTCGTCGTCTCTTGCTTCGTTTCTTCAATTGTTCAACAGACGAACGACTTCACACACACACACGCATGTAGACATATATTTCTTCATTTTTTCCTATACCGTAGCGTGGCATATGACAATTTATTAATCAGTGAACGACAGCAACAAAATTAAAGAAAAAAAAAGAAAGAAACAAATTTATCAATTTTTTGTATTTTACATCTCATCGTCTCGACATACTTGTTCACATAACAAATATATCTGTATCTTTTACTACGCAAAATATTTTGATATGCCACCATGAACATACTTGACAATTTACTATCATGACTATTCAACTTGTTTTACTTATCATTACCATTACCGGTAAATATACATGTGTTATTTGATTTTAGGTCTTTTTTTGATCATTTTCATATCTATAGCATTTTCAACGTTCATTGAATATGCATGCCTTTTCGAGATAGAAAAACTGTGTCTGTGTACATATCTAATATAAACAAAAAATCATTCAATTAAAGACACTTTTTTTTTTGTTTTATTCTTCTGTTTGATTGCGCGTGCTTTACTCGTTAAGTCAAGGTAGGCATAGCTAATTAATCCCCCGTGTGTATAACAACAATATTTACGTGGCGAGAAAGAAAGAAGAACACTTTTCCATTGTTGTTTGCCGAAGGCCGTATGCATCCGAAAAAAAAATGTTAAGATAACAGTACGGTGCCTTGGTCACTATAGAAATTGGTTTCTATATATTGTTGCTCATTTTTTTTTACTTGATCAAGGAATCCATATTGAGCATTACAATTGAAAGAACAGTTGGACAAGATGAAAGAATTCTTTTATTAATATGATAGTGGCAAGACAGCAAATCATAATAGACTCCGCCCTATGACTGATCATTAAATTGAACAGCAGGAGAAGAAATATATATATATATATATATATTATAAAGAAAAAAAATCGATTAAAAATCTTTTTCTTTTTTTCTGTCTGTTCTATTAAATATTTGATTTAATATTTCAAGGTATTGTGAGTTCGTCGAATATCCGGTATATAAGTGGAGAACTTGATTCCGCTATCTCATTTCGATGTGAAATTGCTCAATTACCATTCAATGCCGTTGTATGTCTTCTTCTTCAGTATATTTCAAATCTATTTTAATATAAAATCTTTAGATAACTTGGGTATATCGACCAAAAATTCCTACAATAAATGGTATAAAATGGTTACCATTATATGCCAATGCACGTCGTTTAACACAAAATAATCGACGTTTTATAGTTGATTACAGTGGTTTTAATGTTCAAACACAAACACATCTATCAATATTAACAATAAATCAATTAAATTTATCTGATGAAGGAATCTATATGTGTAAATCAAATCAACATCAATCAACAGCAAATATTTTTAATTTAACTGTAACTCGTAAGAGAAAACCGTCTTTTTTTCTTCTTAATCTAACAAAACCGAAAAATAATTTTATTTCTTATTTTAAAGCTTCAATGAAAATTCTTCCAAATGATGGAATTATTGAATTAAATCGTTATCAATCATCAATTAATTTATCATGTACAGTACGAGAATTATCAACAAATATAATTGATCCATCAAAAATCAAATGGTATCATAATAAACATCATATAAATCAACATAAAACATCACATGTAATTAATAAATATCCACATAATAATCAAGCGACATTAATATTATCTATACATAATTTATCATTAAATGACTCAGGATTATTTGAATGTATTTATAATGATGATATAATAAGCAAAGATGTTCAAATATTTTATACTTCTTCGGGTAAAATAATTTTTTAATTATCTTTTGTTTATTTTGTAAAAATTTATGTCTAATTACATATTCTAGTGCTTGGATATTCTAAATCTATAAGTCGAAAGCTAATATCTTCATGGATATTATTAGTTTATAATATAATCATCATTTTTATTGTAACATGATGAACAAATTATCTTGTCTATTTTATCGTATTTTCTTTTTCTCGTTTTTTTTTTATGCATGTGTGTCGCACAGTGTTTGTTATCTTGTTTGCTTTTTTTTTTTTTTTTCTTTTCATCGATCCAAATTTTAAATGAAGATGACGGTAAACTA